TTTGTCGCCAGCCACTAGGCTGGAGTGCAGTGGCGCAGTCTTGGCCCACTGCAACCTCTGCCTCCTGGTTCAAGCCATTCTCCTGGCTCAGCCTCCCAGTAGTTGGCACTACAGACGTGAGCCACCACACCCAGTTAATTTTTGTATTTTAGTAGAGACAGGGTTTCACTGTGTTGGCCAGTTTGGTCTTGATCTCTTGACCTCGTGCTCTAGCCACCACAGCCTCCCTAAGTGCTGGGATTACAGGTGTGAGCCACCACATCCCGCCTGTAATACAATCTTAATAATTGACTAACCCCATTGGATGGATAAAATGAGATACAGACTAACATACAAAAGAAAAAAATAAATTCATTGGTACATTTGCTTTTGTCTTTTTTTTTTTTTTTTTTACCTAATGAACATAGGAAAAATTTGAAATACTAGTACACAACAAAATTGTAAATATTTGTCACCTGAATTCACCAATTTTTAACCTTTACATCATTTACTTTATTTCTATCTTTGCGTATCTGCATATATACACATTTTTCTAACCATTTTGAATTTCTATACAGATAACTTAGTAACATTAATTTACAGGCTTCAGACCTAAATACTTCAACATATATCTTCTAAGATAAAGCACGTTTCTTTCTCTAACTACAGTACAATTAATTGCACAAATTTAACTTTAATATAATATTGCTAGCAACTTTTATACTATGCTGTTTCAAATAGGTAATCACTAACTACATAGACAGTTTAGATTAGCTTACAATTTAATAGTTCCCTAACAGGACATTGTGTGAAGAGTCCTAATCTCTTAGATAATCTATATTCAAATTTCTCCACATTTAATTATTTTCAGCATAAATACATTATTTAATATTTATAACAAAAACTATGTATGTTTCTATGTCGAATTTTTGGTAGTCTTTTATGTTATAGATAGAAACCACTACAAAGTTAACATCTTTTAATTATATGAAATGTATTTCCTGGCAAAAGACACCTATTTAGCCATCGTCTTTCACTTCTAATATATATTGAGTGTAATTTCAGGACCAGTTTTTTAATTTCTGTTCGTTCTTATTTCGTTTTTATTTTTATCCATGTTGCAGAACTGCTTAATGATAAGCTGAGCTCACCGTCTTTTGTAAAATGGACTCAGTTGCCACGTATATAACAACCTTTCAATGTAGCTTTATAAATTTATCTCTAAATGTAATTATGTGTGAGTCGATATTCTCTTGGATAGTTCTAAGAAGAAACCTTAGTAGTGTGAAAATTTTGGAATTGCCTGTTTCCCTCTATTTCCTTTGTTTGTTTCTTTTTCCTGCCACTTAGAAGAGAATGGCTGTACTGGCTAATGCTCATATTCTTATAAGAGTGCTTTCTAGTAGCAGTGGAATCAGGGCACTTTTGAAAGTATTTCAATTAAACATGACATTTTACTTAGGAATGTCACTCCCATTTTCCAAGAATTTTAGAATAATCACTGAGATAGTCCAAGGTTAATGGGAATTTTTAATAGTTAAGCTATAATTTGTCTCAGTCATTTCTGAGATTAAGGATGGTGAAGATTGAGTTAGGGCTCATGTGGGAGAGACTGATGAAGGGTTATAGTGTATATTTTGAAGTGAGCCACTTTGATGTTGATGTTCAAAACTAAAGTGTAAAATCATGAAAACAACAGTTGACATAATCAGAATGAGTAGGTAATTAAAATGCCTCTACTAAGAGAAATAGCTTGTCACGGAAATGGCATTTGTAACACTGAACAAGTTACTTGACAGGTTTTTATTTACTCTAAAAATAAAGGTGTTAAAATATATGTGCATAGCTGGGAGAGGCCAAAGAAATTGACAGCTAAAGAGTTCTCTGGTTTCTCTAGATAAAACCATAATATGTGACATTTTGAAATAGGACAGTCTGAATGAATTTCTTAAACTTTTTGCTATTTGTTTTATTCTATTTTTCTTTGTAGTTTGATCTGATTTAGCAGTAGGTGAAGGTTTTATTAACAGATAATTTTCTTTTGTTTTTTGTTTTTGTTTTTGTTTTTGTTTTTGTTTTGAGATGGTGTTTTGCTGTTGTCACCCAGGCTGGCATATAGTGGCATAATCTCAGCTCACTGCAACCTCAGCTTCCTATGTTCAAGCCATTCTTCTGCCTCAGCCTCCTGAGTACCTCGGATTATAGGCACCTACCACCACACCCAGCTAATTTTTGTATGTTTACTACAGACGGGGTTTCCCTGTGTTGGCTAGACTGATCTCAAACTCCTGACCTCAGGAAATTCACCTGCCTTGACTGCCCTCCAAATTGCTGGCATTACGAGTGTGAGCCACCATGCCCAACCAAACAGCTAAATTTCACTCATTATGTTTTAACAAATGTTGCACAGGATCTCACCCTTTTTTTAATCTCCTCAGAGTATGCTCAGGTAATCAAAATGTTGGGAAATGGACGATTGGAAGCATTGTGTTTTGATGGCGTAAAGAGGTTATGCCATATCAGAGGGAAATTGAGAAAAAAGGTAGGTGTGTAGATTTCTTTTACTTCAATTAAAAAAAACGTCTGCTTTAAATACATGATCTAAGCAATTTATTAGTTCCCAAAATAATTTTTACAACAGTGACTCATGACAAGAATAAATAGAAAAGGTCTTTGATAGCTTTTAGGTTTTATTTTAAAGCATAATTCCTTTGACTTCTGTTGTATTCCTGCCAGAAATGTTTACTCTGATTTTAGTATTGACTAAAACATGTTTTAATATATAATACAAATGGTCTTGACTCAAACATTAATACTGTGAAAGAATAAGAAATCTGGGAATTTACATTAATAGAGACTAATTGCTGCATATTCCTTCATTAGGTTTTGTCTTTGAGGAAATAGTTGTAGGTGGTACGAGGAAAATTGGAATATGAAATGGTAGACAGCAGATTTGTTACAAATACCATATCAGGTAGTTTTATAAATCAAATTGATTAAAAGTCTCTGGTTCTTAGATTTTATAATTAAAATAATGGTAACTTTTTTTTTTCGCTGAGCTTTCTGCAAGTATTAGCCAGCATATACCTATAGTTCCAGCTCCTCAGGAGGGGTAAGGCAGGATGATGCTTGAACCCAGGAGCTCAAGGTTGCCATAAGCCTAAGAATTCTGCTAATGCACTTTAGCTTGGGTGACAAAGTGGTTTCTATCTCAAAAAGAAAAAAAAAGAATCTATTTGGTATGTTAACATCCTTTCATTTCCAAATTAGTGGCACTTTTGTGGGTTCTCTTAGTCCATTTGGGCTGCTATAACAAAGTACCATTGACTGGGTAGACTATAAACAACAGAAATTTTATTTCTCATAGTTCTGGAGAATGAGAAATCCATTTAATATTGGTGCGGACCCATTTTCTCATGCATATGTGGTGCTTTCTGCCTTCTCCACCCATGGTAGAAGAGATGAACGAGCTCCCTTGGGCCTCATTTATAAGGGCAAAAATCCCATTCATGGGGCATCAGCCCTCATTACATAATCACCTCCCAAAGGCCCAACCTCCTAGTACCATTCCCTTGTGGATTCAAATTTCAACATAAATCTTGAGGAATACAAACATTAAGACAATAGCAGGGGCTATATTTATGTTAATTGGGTGCTTTAGAATCATTCTCTTTAGATACATCTTCTGTATTTTGGACAATTGCATGTCTCAATTTCTACGACTAAGGATCATCTGGAATTTTAAATTCTTGAGTAACTGAAATAAAATTGTTATTTATTTTTAACATTCTAAGTAAGAAAATTTTAACAAACTCAACTGGTACTGTAATTTTCCCATGCCAGACCATAACTCTGTGCTACATACCGCTATACTACGTATATATGTTATAGATTTTTTTTCCCAATTTTATGAGACAGGATCTCTGTGGTCTAGGCTAGAGTACAGTGGCATAGTCATGACTCAGCTGTAGCCTCCACCTCAAGTAGTCCTCCCATCTCAGCCTTCTAAAGTAGCTACAGGCACGTGCCACAACTTTTTTAAATTTTTTGACTTTTTGAACAGTCTAGGCCTCTCTATGTTTTCTAGTTTTGGTCTCAAACTTCTGTGCTCAGGTGATCCTCCTGCCTTAGCCTCCCAAAGTGCTGACATTATAGGCATGGGGCACTTGGCCTGGCATCAAATTCTTTATTTTTTTTTCACACGAGGTGAATAGCATATCTGTTTTATGGGAAGATCCACTAAACATTCTCCTTATTTGCGTTTATTTTAAAAATAATCTGCAGTAAATTTCTTACAGGTTTGGATAAATACTTCAGACATCATATTGGTTGGTCTACGAGACTATCAGGTAAAAACAACATTTAAGTATGTGCTGTGTCTTTAAGTAGTTGCTGATGTTCAGAAGATATGAACTAGGCCCTTTAACTTGTTCCAGCCCCATATACTTTCTCAGTGTTCTGCCATCATCGTTTATTTGGGGCCAGTTGTGTTTAAGACTGTAGAATTTTTCAAATTCAGAAGAATTCACACAGATAGTTAATGGTACATGTATTTTGTGGAAAGACATAATTTGTTTTAATTCTTTGATTTTGTTAATACAATGTGTAGTAAATATTTTCTTGCAGGTTCGGACAAGTACTGTAGACCATTCTGTCCTCATCCATTTAAAGGGCAGTGGTGGTAAAGGCTTTCAGCTGGCATTTCAGACGTGAAATAGTATTGGAGCAGCCTGAATTTTAGTGCTTTGAAGTCAAATTAGAGGATATGTAGTTTTTCATGAAACACAATTATTTGTTTTTGTTTTTAAATATGTTTTTAATTTTTTTCTAATGAGAATGATAGTATATAGGTAGTAATTTTTTATTAGTGTCCTGATTTGCCAAAGCAAAATTTAATAATCTGGGAGACTCATTTACCTAATACTGTTTTACTATTTTGAAACTTAAAGTTGGGAAACCACAAGTCTAGATGATGCCGTTGAATAAGTCAGTTCTCCTCTAAAAGTTTTATAGTTTGGTAGTATAAAGTTAAGCATGCACACAAGTAGTTACAGTACAAAGTATTGTATATGCTTTAATTTTAAGGTGAGCAGCATAGAACAAAGTCAGTAGTAGCCATTTATCTCTAACCTTGAAACTATTTATATGTCATAGGTCTGTAAAATCCATTTGATTACTGCCCATGGAACTTATTACCATTGCTTAACCATATTAAAAAATACTGATATATCTGGATTTTTATTCTCTTGCTACTAGTTGGAGTTTCCTGTAGTCGTCTGTTAAGTCTAGTTACTTGGTAGTGTTAAAGTCTTGTGTTGATCTTTTGTCTGATTGGTCTTTTCTTTATTCTAATGGCATATTGAAATTACTTTTCATTTTGAGAATTTTACTTTTTACATGATTCCTCTGTCCCTATTGAGTTTTTCTGTTTTTTGAAATACTGTTTTCAGAATTTTCTTAATATTTTTAGATATGATTTCTTTTAAGTTTTTAGACATATTATGTCTTATATAAACTAAGTCCAACTCCTGGGATTCCTCAGGAATAATATTTTTTTCCTATGTTTGGGCCACTTTTTTACATATCTTAATTTGTTTCTTGAAAATCGAACATTTTAACTACCACATGGCTGTTCAGGAACTCAGATTCGTACTTCTCAGGGCTGTTTTTACTACTGCTTGTTTGGTGACTTTTCAGAACTAATTCTTTGGCTATTGAAAAGTTGGTTGGTTTAGTAGGCATTTCATGTTGCATTAAGATTTCATTAAAACCACTAAGGAATTAAGCATTTAAAGAGAAATCTTGAACATGTAGAGTAATTCTTTCAACATTCAACCAGTGTCAGTCAACTGACACCTCTTCCTTATTCTTTATCTCATGCTGTGCAGGATATTAACTTCAGTCAGGGGTAAGATTAGGGCTTTCATATGTGCATCTTTATCATGTGCATTACCCTGAACTTATATTTGGCCTTTTAGATTTGCAGAAGTATTTAGGACTTTACACATTTCCTATGCATATTTCATTACAGAGCTTTTTCTTCTAAGTTTTTGGATAGTTTCTTTTTTGTCCGTAGTGTTATTGCCACTTAAAGCATGTTAAAAAGTTGCCACAGATTATTCTTTCTACAAAAGCCCTGGGAGGTAAACAATCACAGTGAATAAGCTCTGAATCAGTTAAGTCAAAGAAAAGCTCTTAAAATGGGGGTTTCCAGGAACTGCCAGTCTGTTTTCTGTAGAATACAGTTAACAGGGAACGTCAGACTTGTTCTGTGTTTTTGTGTAGTTGAGAGGCTGTTGGTGTTTATGAAACTGAGATGAGAAATGGGGATGGGGAAACTTAAAAAGCCACACTGCTTTTTCTTAGTGAGATTCACCTGTTTTTCTTGAATAAACACTCCTTAGTGTTAATTGCATTCATTTGGTTAATTTTCAGATTACTGATTTATGAACTTTTACCATTTTTGTCAGTGTTCTCATTTCTTTTATGAAGAAATAAATTGTAATAAGTCCTTGTTCTGCCATTTCTACAGTCACTGCATGGAGGCATTTATTTTGATAGACTTAATTACACATTGACATATATATATGTGTGTGTGTGTAATATATATATGTATCTGTGTATATGTACATGTATGTATGTATATTAAATATATATTGCACATTGACTTTACATATATATGTATATATATATATATGTAAATTGTACTGTGCTTTTAAAATGTTTTTATGTCCATTGTGTTATTTTAGTCACCATTTTAACAAAATCTTGTTTGCACATAATGATTTGAAAAGTTTTGATTTTACTGCCATTGTGATGGATCACTTTAGTTTAGATCTTATTTAGATTGTAAATTGTAAGCAATCTAAATTACACGTCATCCCAAGTTAGATAAAATACTTTTAAATGGAGAAGTGAACATCTTAGGAGAGTGTTTTTCAATGGTTGCATTAGAAACATCCACCTAGAAGAGCTTTTAAAAATGTGCATTTATGTACCACACCCTAGGCGGGTCTACTTTCAGTCTTAAGGAAGTAGTTATCTCTTTTTAAACTCTAGCTGTCTATTTTTCAAGTTCCATAGACAATTCTGGTAGATTATATATACTAAGAACTACTGATGCATAGAAAAGTGTATTACTTTTTTTACATTATTCCTTAATCCATTTTAGTTTTAAATTGCAGTGTTTGACCTAAGAAGTTTTACATTGCAGTTTTTTTTTTTAATTAGTCTTTTGTTTTTTTTCCAAGAGACTTCTAATTAAAAGGTAACAGTATATAAAGACTGGGCTTGCCTTTGTGCCTTTATTAAAACGAAATCTGTATGTATCTTTCCATATCTATTAATTATTGTTTACTGATGAATACAAACCACTTCCTAATTATTCAGACTCAAGAACTTTTTCTAGAGCATATTGGGGTAGGCAAAGAATAGCAGGACCATTTGTAATAAACATTATGTGGGCTTTTCTTAGATGTCTTTAATTTGAAAGTAAATTGTGAAACAACTGTTGATACTTTGGTATAAGCAGTTTTGAACATTGTTTGTTTATTTCTAAGGATAACAAAGCTGATGTAATTTTAAAGTACAATGCAGATGAAGCTAGAAGTCTGAAGGCATATGGCGAGCTTCCAGAACATGGTAATATCAAAATGATTATATCCACTTGTTATTTCATATTAGTGTTTGTGGAATTTAGGTGAAGGAATTTTTGTAGCATCCTGTTTTACATTCTGTTTTAGTGTATACTTACAAAATGTGTTATAAGTAGTCTTGCCTATACTTCAGTTTACTTCTAGTACTTTGGAAAAGATATTAAGTGGAAATCTCAAATAACGACGGTGTGAACTTAAAAGTAGAAACCTCTAATAAAGAGAATTTGAATTATGAAATTTCCTTTGATGATGAGTTTTTGAATTCATGAGCTTGATTTGTATATAATCACTCAAAGAAATATATATTTTTTAGTGTTTTTCTAAACAATTCTCAAAAGATTGGCAGTTTTCATTTAAGTAAAAGCAACAATTATAATGCTAATAATGTTTGATTCTTAGAGAAAAAAGTATTCAGTTCATCTTACCAAAGTTGTAACTATGGGATTATTTTTAAGAAACAATTGTGTTTTCGTTTTCTTAAAGAAAAAGCCTACATATTTTACTAGGCAGCTGTTTTCATTATTTATCACTTTGCAACTTATGAAAATAAGATTTTTATATAAACATGAACATCCTAATGAAATTATTGGCATTTCAGGAAGTGCTGAAATAATTGGGAATTGAGCTAGCACCGCCTTTTTTCACTTTTATTGCTTAGGGATAACCAGAATTATGATTTAACCAAGTATTTTTCACTGATTTGATAAATCTGTTTAATTTAAAGATAACTTTATATATGTTGAGGATAAGTTGTTAACCTGTGCTCAAATCTTTGAAGGCTACATGGAAATGTTTAGCTATTTAGTTAATATAATTAGAGTCTGCCTGCCATATTTAAAATACCTTTTGTGCGTGTGCTAAGTGAACATTATAAATATCTTTTTAAAATAAAAGAAAAAATACAGCACACATGTTCTTAGAGTCTCACTCTCTCACCCAGGATGGAGTGCAGTGGCACAATCTCGGCTCACTGCAACCTTCACGTTCCAGATTTAAGCTATTCCCCTGGCTCAGACTCCCAAGTAGCTGGGATTGCAGGTGTGCACCACCACACCAGGCAAAAAAAAAATTTTTTTTTTTATTTTATTAGTAGAGATGGGATTTCACCATGTTGGCCAGGCTGGTCTCAAACTCCTGACCTCAGGTTATCCACCCACCTCGGCCTCCCAGAATGCTCACATTACAGGCAAAATCTTGATTATATAATCAGTATATTATTTTATCTTCAGCTAAAATCAATGAAACAGACACATTTGGTCCTGGAGATGATGATGAAATCCAGTTTGATGATATTGGAGATGATGATGAAGACATTGACGATGTAAGTAGACAAACCTAATAGGTGTTTTATCTATGTATTATCTGTAAACTTTACAATCCTTTGGAATATTCTTTTCTTCAAAAATTAATTGTAGCTTTGGCAGTAGGCAATCATAATCAAAGTTAAGTAAGAGTTTCTAAAGAGATAGTTCTGAGAACACGTCCTCAAGAGAAATGCTTAGTCTGTTAAAAGAATAATCTTGTTTGAACCAGTTTGATGCAGCACTGAAATTTACAATATACTTGAAAGGCTTGTTAAAATGTCAGGCCTTCTGCCAGGGTATGTAATAGAATTACATTGTTGATCATCAGTTTGTATTGGTCAGACTCTTGGGGTTTGGTTTGTACCTATTTTGTGGAAATGATTGTTTTTCCTAGTAACAAAGCAGCAGAATTCACAAAGCAGTAAATGCCTCACCTTACTTTTTAATATAATTATATTCAAATAAAATTCACCTTGATTTCTTCCCTTTCTCCATGAGAGTGACTGTGCGTGTGTGAGTGTGCGTATGTGTGTTTATTAAATATGGAATTGGTTGGTGTAGCTTAAATTCATTTGGGTATAGGCTTTTTTGATCAATATACCTGTAGTAAAAATGTGATTCAAAAACTACCTCTATATAGAAACCCCGAAATTATGATTGACTGGATATTAATAAATAGTCATTCTTAACATAGTCTTGCGCAATTACTAGAGCTTTCAAAATAACAAAGGCCAGCTGGGCGCAGTGGCTCACACCTGTAATCTCAGCACTTTGGAACGCTGAAGCAGGTGAAGTACAAGGTCAGGATTTTGAGATCAGCCTGACCAACGTGGTGAAACTCCGTCTCTACTAAAAATGCAAACATTAGCCAGGCATGGTGGTGCACACCTGTAATCCCAGCTATTCAGGAAGCTGAGGCAGGAGAATGGCTTGAACCCTGGAAGCAGAGATCTTGCCACTGCACTCCAGCATGTGCAACAGAGTGAGACTCTGTCTCAAAAAAAAAAAAAAAAAAAAATTTAAAAGGCCAGTCTTTGAAAGTCTAAAACAGGCATAATTGATACTGATGCTCTCACTCCATTGGGAGCTTTTATTTTACATCAGGGACCTCTACAGCTTTTGTTTTACCCCAACATTCATTAAAATTGTTTTCCAGATCTTCAGAGGAATAGAAGAATTTTTAAGTTCCTCTGTAAACATTCATATACTCACCAACAGGATTCTACAATTTACAGTTTATCTTCTTCATCTATCACACCCATCCTTCTCTTCTTCTGATATTACACCTTATATTTTGGCGCCTTTCCAAACTATTTAGATTACTGACACTTTGAATTAAAGGAAATAAACTGAGGACATAATTCTGTTTTACATATATGCATTTATGCAGTTTTTAAAACATAAAGTACTCTAAAATTAAAAAATTTTTTTTTCTTTGGGAAATGTTTCTGAGTCATAAATCTACCTTAATGTAATATAAATTTTAAGGTACACCCAAAAGGAGCAAATGAAAAAGGTTGAAAAACCTGTTGTTCTTGTGAACCAGGAAATCTTAGACAGGTGTCAGGTTAATTTAGAAAGTTGATTTTTGCCAAGATTGAGGATGCACCCATGACAGTCTCAGGAAGCTGTGAGGACATGCACCCAAGGTGGTCAGGGCACAGCTTGGTTTTGTACATCTTAGGGAGACATGAGACATCAATCAATATATGTGAGAAGCACATTGGTTCCATTTGGAAACGAAAGGTGTCTTTGTTAGCCTTTGTAAAGTAGGCAGTCAGATATGCTTCTAACTCAGTGAGCTGAAGGACCACTTTGAATAGAATGTGGGAGGCTGGTTTGCCCTAAGCAGTTTCCACCTTGAGTTTTTCTTAGTAATTTTGGGGCCCCAAGATATTTTCCCTTCATATTCTAATTTATTTATGTACCTCCTATTGGGGACCCTGAGTTAGAGGTCTTTTGGGAATTAAACAGAAAAGGCATTTACTTCATGTTGCAGTAACTAGAAGCATAAACACTGTGTTGTAGATTAAGGGCAAATGTGAACATTTCCACAGCCAATGGCCTTGAAGGCCTCTGGAAAATTAAAAGAACCTATCTAGACTGCATACAGGAACACAAAGTTACATACACAGATATTAGAGTAAGGATCTAGGCATGTTAAATTTTTTCTCAGAAAGTAGGGCAGGAAGACTACTTACTCAGATCGATGCCAATGTTTCCTTTGGAACTAGACCCAGTAGGGTAATAAGGGAAGGAATATAAAGACAATGGCTAATAAAGGAAGTTTCATTTATTTATAGGAGTTTGTTTGCCTATCATGAGGGAGCATTGTAGAAGATTTAGGTGTTTTAGTTTTACTTCTTTGAGTAAATGAACTCAATTTGATTAGGACCATATTTGTCCCATTTTTAAAAGAATTACATTGTGTTTTGTCTGTGTCCACCCTCAGAATATAAGTTGTATAATCACTACCACAAAAGGAAATAAAGAGATGCAAAACTTCAAAGATGTTTTTATATAGTAACATTCTGAATGACCATAAGCTTTACTGGTAACACAAAGGAAATGAGAAAAATTGTTTTCTTGCTGGTACTGAATAACCAGTTAAAAAGGATTTACTTCCCAGATTGCTACTGGGAGTCTTTATATGCAGTAGAACGTTGCAATTAGATACATGGATCTGATGTTCTTTTCAATTACAGATCTAAATTGAACTGAGTGATTTTACATTTGAAGTTTTCTGAGGATTGTTCTACAGTTGGGATTTTGACTATCACCTGTTAAGAAGAGAAATTCGTTTCGTTTATAGTCTGTTAAAGCAAACTGATATTTTCATTGTTTTAAAGTATTTATTTCTGTAAAAGCTGATGACACTGAATTGTGTCACCAAAAAAGAAGTATTAAATATTAATACTTTATTGTTTTGATGTAATGGAACTTAGAGATAAAAGATCATAATATTTGCTGTAAAAACAAATAAACGAATGCCTTTTCTACTGTGATAATTTTACTTCAAGTAATTGGATATTTTGAATATATTTCTGCTTTGTAATCATCAAAAGTTATAATAAGTCCTACTTCCAGTTAATCTATTTACTGTACAGTCTTTCTGTATGTTTCAGCTACTTAGACATTTCCCTAAAGTTTCTGATACAATTTAAAGAAGACAAATCTATATTTGGAATCAGAAAAAAATGGACATATTTTTTATATTTAGCCACATGTATTTTATACTAACATTGATGCCTTATAAATTCTTTTTTTCATGTGTGCCTCCTGTTATTAAGGGAAAAAAGAAGCATTTCCAACCTGCAGTTTTTAAAGTGTAGCAACTTTGAGTAGCAATTTAGAATGTGTACCATTTGCAGAAATTGAACCCTAGGTGGCAAGCAATTATCTTAACATTGGAAATACTGCTATGCCATTTTGTTTTCAAAAGTAATTCATTGCAACCCACAGACTTTGTCTTCATGAACAAGTAAACTACAATGTATAAATGAAAAACTAATTTTATAGCACATTCCATAAACAGCTTTTGTCACATTGTCCCTAAACTGCCAGAGGAGGAGGCAACCATACTGTATGGGAAGATAGTTTCAGGCTGGGGGTGGTGGCTCACATCTGTAACCCTATCACTGTGGAAGGCCAAGGTGGGCAGATCACCTAAGTTCAGGCATTCAACACCAGCCTGACCAACATGGTGAAACGATATCTACTAAAAATACAAAAATTAGTGGGTCATGGTGGTGCATGCCAGTATCCCAGCTACTCGGGAGGCTGAGGCAGCAGAATTGCTTGAACCTGGAAGGCGGAGGTTGCAGTGAACCGAGATCTTGCCACTGAATTCCAGCCTGGGTGACAGAGCAGAACTTCCTCTCAAAATCTGAATGGAAGAGCTACAACAATCCATGTAGTAAAAAAGAGTAATGTTCAGTGTATTTTGGCATAACTTTGTGGTGTTAGTATATTTCATTGTGGGTACTGATTTTTTTTTAATACATACTAGTAAGATTTTATATTACAATTTTCCTTTTTAAAGTTTTGTTCTTAAAGCTATAAAGTTAAAATAAAGGCTGGACTAGTTAGAGTTCACTGGGTACTGTCTTACATAACTTTAATAGAGTTGCAAAATATATTTTTTCTCTTGATAATTTATAAGTAATGAAAACATAAAGGGAATATGAAATCACATGGTTTCAGTAATACAAATATATTTGTAGGAGTAAATATATTTGAAATATATATTTCAAAGAGTAAAACTTCATTGGTCAGGCAAGATGGCTTACACCTGTAATCCCAGCACTTTTGGAGGCCGAGGCGGGCTGATCACGAGATCAAGAGATTGAGACCATCCTTGCCAACATAGTGAAACCCCATCTCTACTAAAATACAAAAATTAGCTTGGCCTGGTGGTCCACGCTTGTAGTCCAAGCTACTCAGGAGGTTGAGGCAGGAGAATTGCTTGAACCCAGGAGGGTGGAGGTTGTATTTAGCCAAGATCATGCCACTGCACTCCAGCCTGGTGACAGAACAAGACTGTCTCAAAAAAAAAAAAAAAAAAAGTTGTCATTTTAGTTCTTTCATGTGAAAACTCTGGAGTCAAAATGTAAGGCCAGAATGTTGGTACATTATTAAATCTAAGATTAAGAAATAAAAGTTAACAGAGTTTTGGTTTATGATTCTTAATTCTGTGGCATTCCTAAACATTTATCTAGGTGAAATATGTCTGAAGACTATTTTTAAATATTTTTGAAGAGTTAACTTGTGTTCACAGATTATCAAAACTTCCCGACATTTTTAGCCTAATGTACATAAAAGTATATGGCTTAATTTATACTACTTTACCCACTTTACACATTTTGGTAAAAATGTTGGAAGTCTGCATGAGTGATACGATTCTTAATAGGAGTAAAACCACTCAAACACTTCTTTTTCTTACTAGGTTCCTCTAACAACTGTGTTTGGTCTAAAAATTAAGAAGTATTACTTGTTCCAATATGTACGTTTGTAACACATTTTGTTTGTTAGTTCAGTGTAGTGTGTTATACAGGAAAATTTAGAGTTATCAAATATTAGACTGAAGTTGTAGGCTGTAGGTATATGCAGCACTGCTTGAGGAAATTATTTTTATATATTTACTATAGGAATTGTAAATAGTTTCATTGATTTGATTATGCTTCCAATAAAGGATGAAATTAGGAAGAAGGTAATTATGTTCTTTTAGGAGAATATAGTGATATAAATCATACACAAAAGAAATAAAATTACGTGAAAGACAAAAAAAATGCATTTATATTGATAACCAGTGGACGTTTATTGTCAAGAAAATACATAATGAATTTGATATGGTTGCAATTTTTATGTGATGTTTATTTTGTTTGCAGTTAAGAATATTAACAAAAGTAGCTAAATGATAAGCATTCATGTAAAAAAGGCATGCCAACATTTAATATTTTGCTTATTAACATTTTAATATCAAGCCTAAAAAGTTCTTCAGGAGCTCGTGAATTATGAGTGATGGAAAGTCTTGCATTTTAAGGAATGCCTCCACTGCTTTTTTTTCCGTCTGTGTTAGTACTCATAGTCATTAATACGTTTGCTTACAAAACTTGTGCTTGGTAGTTTACTCAAGCATGTAAAGTAAATACTAATTAGGTATATGCTGTCATCATTCACACATAAGTAAACACCATTTAGAATAAAATGCCTGGCTAGATTTATTGGTGACATTTTTATTTGTATTTTATATAGTTTTAAGCACATTTCAGCCTGATGTGGTGGCTCATGCCTGTAATCGCAGCACTTTGGCAAGCAGAGGCGGGCGGGCCACTTGACTCCAGAAGTTTGACTTCACGAGTTTGAGACTGGCCTGGCCATCTTAGTGAAACCTCAGCGACTCAAGAGGCTGAGTCAGGAGAAAAACTTGAACCTGAGAGGTGGAGGTTGCAATGAGCCAGGATCACCATCACTGCACTGCAGCCTGGGTGACAAACTTTGCCTCAAAAAAAATTTTTAATTACATTTAACATTGTTTGGCTTGACATACAAAATATTAAAATGGAGGCTTTTTAATAAGCTTATATGACAAAAATCAGATGAATTTTTCCCTGCCTAAAATAGGATAAGCTTAATTTATACTGTTTTGGGTGATAGATTTGGCTGTGTCCAAACAGAAATCTCATCTTGAATCTGGAAGGGACCAGGAGGTAATTGAACCATGGGGTCAGGTCTTTCCCATACTATTTTTGTGACAGTAAGTCTCATGAGACCTGATGGATTTGTAAAGGGGAGTACCCATACTTACCTGCCCCTGTGTAAGTTTTGACTCTGCTCCACATTTGCCTTCTGCCAAGATTGTGAGGCCTCCCCAGCCTTGTGAAACTAAGCACATTAAATCACTTTTTCAAATGTGCATTTTGGCCAGGCATGGTGGCACCCACCTGTAATCCCAGCACTTTGTGAGGCTGAAACAGGCAGATCACTTGACGAAGGAGTTTAAGACCAATTTGGACAACATGGTGAGACTCAAAGATAGCGCATGTTAGTAATTCCAGCTATTCAGGAGTCTGAGGCACGAGAGCCCAGCAGGTGAAGGTTGTAGTGAGCCAATATTGCACTGCTGTAGTTCAGCCTGGGCAGCAGAATAAGATCCTGTCTCAAAAAGAAAAAGTTTATCCATTTTATTCTTGTTTTTTCTTTATATTCAAAACATAGGAATAAATCTAAATTACGTTCTATTACAAATTTGACAGGACTGGAGACTATCAGGTGTGGAATAAACAGACATTTCAAAAGTTTATTGGATTTTTTATGTTCCTCTTAATCCTCACTACACACAGAATGCAAGCTAATGCAATAAAGAAGTATAGAGCACATGTTCTGGAGTCAAACTGCCCGTATCCAAATTCCAGCTCTACCCTCTGGCATGGTGGCCATGTGTAAGAAGTCTCAACAATCTGTAAACTAGTATTGATAATGCAGACCAGCCTTGCTTTGCATGGTAGTACAAGACCACAAAAAGCACAAATGAGTACATGATTACCAAGATGACCACAAGGTGAAACTGAAAACAGCGCTAGATAATGAGAAAAATTACAGCTGCTCTGCAATTGTTAAAATTTGTTGTTAAACATTATAAATTAATCACAATTTATAGAGAAATGAAAAATATTTTATATAGTACATTAATACAAAATATTAAAAGCATTGAGTAGTAAATGTTTTGATTCATAAGATTTTACTAATAGTAGGTCAAACAGTGCTTGCATTTTGCCATGCAACTCCCAAAAGTGAATTATCTTTATAACTTGGCAAAATGTCATACATAATTGGCAAATGTCATTCAGTGTTTCATCAGTTCACTTTTAATGTCATGAAATAAATCCAGTATTTCTCCATGAGTTTTCTTCCTGGTGTCATATTCTCTGCAATATTTCTACCTTTTTTAGGCACAGCCATTTTTCTCATTTATTTCAATTAAGTTTACTAAGTTTCTTTGGCTACATGTCTAGCTGGGATGTTGGGAATATAATATCTGTAAGGCCGGTTACCTTGCCAGGAGTCAAACGGACACATCCATCACCCTCCATGCCTGATAACTACGTCATCACCTACGCTCATTATTTCGCCTCACCCATGGCTTCCCCTCACCCACCTCTGCATACCATACCAAAGCCCACACTCAGCACTAAACTATGTATCTAACCCCCAGCCCGCTGGCCCACTGTTGAAAAACCCTGCAGAAAAATTTTTAAAGAAGCCCCACCAAACCCTGCCCAGTAGCAGTCTGCCCCATACATCCCCAGCCGGCCCACTTAACCCAAGGTCCCACCCGCCTACCAATGGCAACTAACTACATTCCTTCCTGCCTCTCAACAGCCAATAAAATTGCCTTCGCATTGTTTCCCCAGTAGCCAATCAAGGTCCACTTACCCAAGGTTCTGCCCACTTACCAATGGCAACTAGCGCCATGTACTTCCTGCTTCTTAACAGCCAATAGAAT